CCAGTGTTTATATTTCATCTTTCTTTTATATTTAGGGATTGATTTTATACGAGCTGGATATAAAAAGAAATTCTGAGCAGTGGGGTTACACTAATCATTCATTTTCCTGTTCTAAGAATCCCCCAAGCCCTGCTAGGTACCGATGGTTGGTCTTGCTGTTTTACTCATCCGTTCGACAATGGAGGAGTGTGGAAAGCCCGGATCAAGCAATCTCAAAAGTCATCCCAGCTTTATAATTCAATAAGTTTAATATTGCATTAGTCTTAGAAGCTTGCAAATATATTAGCGTTGTTTAAATCGTGTGCAGCATTTTTATGAGTTTTAACTTTAATATATACTGTATATTCTTCCAAGTCTTTGATTTTTATTCATGGAGGGTCAGAAAAAAATGTTTTGGCTTCCTGTGAATGTGCCCTTCATCTCTCCTTTTCTCTAGTTGTGGCCAGTAAAACTTGCCTTTTCCTCTCCCCGCGAGGGAGCCCCGGTAGGTGAAAGCACTGACGTGCCCCCCCAGTGCATGGAACGTCGCTCCCTTCCTCTCTGCCTCTCCCAGCATCAGCCGAAGATCAGGGAAGGCTGTTCACAGCACCTTCTCACGCTGAATGCTTCAAAACCCCCCTCACTTCAAAACTCTGCATGTTTTACAACTGTGCACATTTTTCCTGTTTTCCCAATTAATTACAGGGATTGTAAGAGGGATATTAACCAGTGCTTCACTCTTAGAAGAAGAAAAAAAGATATTCCTGTATCCAAGTTTGGCCTTGGATGCTTAACCCTTTGAATTTGTTTACACTAACCCAGTTTGTGTGTTTGTGTGAATCTGGTGGTTGGCTTTTGTCAAAGGGAGACATTTCTATGCACGTGCTTGGAAGCAGCCTTAATACTTATTTATAATATCCCAAGGCACCGTAAATTCACATCTCAGGCCTCAAATTGATACCTTTGGGAGGGAGGGGAGTCTGTGAAACAGTACCTGCTTTTCTGCATTGGGATTCAGTACCAATTCTTCTTGTTTTATATTCATCGTAGCCCTGCAAGTTGGATTCAGTACTAAGAAAGGACAGCGTGCTCTAAAGCAGGGCTTTTCAACTTTTTCACCCATTGTACCACTTTTAGGAGATGGCAACATCCGAGTACCACCAGTCACCTAGCAAGGTGTCAAAAACTTGATGACAAAAAAAAAGGGGGGAGGGAGTGATAAAGTACAGGTAGTCCTCAACTTACAACAGTTCGCTTAGTGACTGTTTGAAGTTACAGTGGCACTGAAAAAGTGTCCCCCAAGCCACAGCCAAGCAAGACAGCGCTCGGCGGTGCTCTTCCTCCTGTCCGAGGTTTTCATTGTTGTGAGCATTTTTGTTGAGGATTGGCAGCAGGGGTGGGGTGGGGGGGATGTTTGATTTTTATTCCCCCCATCTGCTGGGTGGTTGCAGCAGGTTTTGGTCACTTCACATGACCCTGGGACACTGTGACCGTCATAAATATGAATCAGTTGCCAAGCATCTGAATGTAAATCACAAGACCCTGGAGATGCTACAACATTCCAGCTGGTTGGCGCTTCTTCAGGGCTCAGCAGAAGCGCCAGGATCAGCACTGAGCTCCAGCTGGAGCCTGGCGCTGATCCTGGCGCTTCCGCTGAGCCCTGACAGCCCTGCAGCTCCAGCCGTCTCTCGCTCAGGCTTGTGCGGTGCTGCCACCGGTTCAGCTCATTCCCCTCCCCCGCTATCACTTTTCTAGGATGGTCACGTACCACCTGCCAGGTGCAATGTACCACAGGTGGTACCCGTATCACTGGTTGAAAAGCCCTGCTCTAAAGCAACTGTCGGCAGGTACCTCACACTCGGGCTTCCTCTTTTCAGAGCTGCCCCACTTCCGTCATTATTTTCCTGGCTTGTTAAAATTGTAATTTCATTTCAAGCCTGGAAAGCTAAATTGTCCAGCCAGAGCAGAGGCTGCTTCACGATCTGCTGCGGTTCACAAGACAATTAACGTGAGGGATTTAATGGCTCCTGGCTACCCAGGGGATGACGACGTGCTGTATCCTTAGCCAAGGGGATGACGTAGCTCTCTCTTTCTATCCTGCAGAGCAAGAGCCCCCAGACTGTAGGAGCAAGCAGTGCCTCACCTAAACTTGGACTTTTGCCTGAAGAGGAGGAAACAGACAACAGGGAGAAAGAGCTACTGATGGAACGGATACAATCAATCAAGGAAGAGAAGTGAGTGATGGCTTGTAAAGGCCCACCCACAGGCCCACCCTCTGCAAGACAGAAGCTTCTTGTCTCTGAATTTATCTGCCAGCTCTGAGAATCTCCTCTACGAAGAAGAGCCCTGCTTTAGTTTTCCAGTAGAATTGGCTCTTGCGAAGTATTTTTAAAAAATGGGGTCTGCGTTGCGATGCACGAGAGAATAGTTAGGATTTTCAGTTCTATTTTAGGCGTGTATGAAAGCCTCTCCCAGATTGCCCTGAGCTGCTCTCCTCCTTCAGTAGCAAGCAAAGCCCCCCAAGAGACTTTATTCCACCCCGATAGCAATTACCCTTCCCTCGGTTCCAATAGTAACATTGGACTTGATGGATCACAAAGGCTTTAATAATAATAATAACAATAAAGTTGGAAGGGACCTTGGAGGTCATCAAGTCCAACCCCCTGCTCAGGCAGGAAACCCTATACCATTTCGGACAAATGGCTGTCCAGTCTCTTCTTAAAAACTTCCAGTGTTGGAGCATTCACCACTTCTGGAGGCAGGTTGCTCCACTGGTTAATTGTTCTATCAGGAAATGTGTCCTTAGTTCTAGGTTGCTTCTCTCTTTGGTTAGTTTCCATCCGTTGCTTCTTGTCCTGCCTTCAGGTGCTTTGGAGAATAGCTAGACTGCCTCTTCTTTGTGGCAGCCCCTGAGATATTGGGACACTGCTATCATGTCCCCCCTTGTCCTTCTCTTCGTTAAACCAGACATACCCAATTCCAGCAACCGTTCCTTATATGCTTTAGCCTCCAGTCCCCTTATCATCTTTGTTGCTCTTCTCTGTACTTTCTAGAGTCTTTGAAAGGAGGAGAGGCAGAAAACCTGCTCTTTTCATTATTTCAGTCTTTGAAATTGTTCCAGCCCTCCCGTGGAACGAGCTTGTCTTTCTCTCTCTCGCTTCTTTAGGGAAGACATCACATACCGTCTCCCCGAGCTGGACCAGCGTTGCTCTGATGAGGAGAACGTCGACTCCGAGACATCGGTTAGCACAGAAAGCTTGTTGGAGGAACGTGTGGGGTGCCGTGACCCTGAAGGTCAGTATTAAGGTATTGTGCAGAGGTTTTTTTTTCCCCTCTTCAACATTCCCTTGGTGGCCCTGGCCATCCTGGCACCGGTCTTTTCTGCAACTTTCTACTGCGACAGCAAAAAAAAACCCTTTGCAACAGGTTTCTTAACCGAGGGTCTCTCCTCCTCTTTAAAGGAAGCACGGAGCCTGCTGCTCAGTGCATCAGCCTCTCTGCCAAAGAAGAGATTGGATCACCAAAAATGCTGCTGTTTTCAGCCCAGGTAGATCCAGTTCCTCCTCACCTGTCCGCCACATGCGGGCCATCCTCTTTGCTTCTGCTCAAGGGAAGCCCTCTTCATCAGAATCCGGGGGAGGCACGTAGCCAAGCCCAAGCGGTCTTCCAGGACTGAGACCTGCTCTCTCCCTGCTCCAAGAATCGCCTCTTTCAAGGATGAACTGCTCACGGGAACGTACCAAGAACAGTCGTCTCAAAAGCAAGCGGGAGAGACAGGCTCAAATGAAGATCAAAAAGAGGCCACTAGCAGTCCTGCTTCGGGAGCTGTTGGACATGCTGCCCTATTCCAAACCCGGTCAAGTCCAGTATTTTAAAGTTCTGATGCTCATCGGAACAGAATGGTCATGATTTGCACCAGGGCTTTTGGTTGGCATCGGATCTGGAAAACAATTGGTGCTTCTCCGATCTGCCGGGATCAAATGTGGATCAATAGTTATAGCTCCGGACCAATTTCCATTTCCCGAGATGAAGCTTGAAATTCCCTTCTCTGCCCAGCAGTCCACCCAAGTCTGGCTTCTCCCTGTCTGCTTGCAACAGGCTCTTAATAGGACCAAACAGAGTCAGAGCACTCAATAACTTCGTTTTCTGCTTTAAGTCTCTGCCTCGGATTACGACAACTTCCAACCGGTTTACAAAAACTTTCAAATGTTTGTAGTAACCATTTAATGGAGACCAAAAATGTATCAACGTTTATATTAAAACTGCACTTTTTTTGGGAAAAAAGGGGCATTGGGAGGTATTCTTCACAGCACAACACCAAGGGCTTACTCCTATCTTGGTAAACTATAGTTCAGTGATGGCGAACCTTTTAGAGACCGAGTGCCCAAACTGCAACCCAAAACCCACTTATGCATCATTGAGTGCCGGGTGGGCATGGCCCATTGGGTGGGCGTGGCCCATTGGGTGGGCGTGGCTGCAGTAGTAACAGCAGACTGGGTGGGACTAAAAAGTTCAATCAATCAATTCCAACTTTGCAAGATCTTTTTTTTCCCCGCGAGAAGTGGAAATTGATTGATTGAACCTTTTTTTTGGACACGGTGGTGGAGGCCTAAAGTGAAAAGGTTTTATAAAACCCAGCTGAAGGCCTAGGACTGGGGCGACGTTGTGCGTGCCCACAGAGAGAGCTCTGAGTGCCGCCTCTGGCACCCGTGCCATAGGTTCGCCACCACTGCTATAGTTGGTAGTTCTATCACTGTAACTGCTGAGATTAGTTTGATAACCAACATGCTCTTTTAATAGATTCTTTGGGGAAGCTCAAGTGGAGCAGTATTGAAAAATCTCAGTTCCATTTTCTGCAGTGACCCATAAATGAAGAGTCAGCTGGTGTGGCCTGTTGCCATTCTTGGGACTTCATAACAAATAGGAGCGGAAGGATAAACAAACAGAGGCATTTTCCTGTCTTCCTTCGAAAGAGGAGACGTTCTCTCCTAAACGCTACAGACATAAGACGTGTCTTTCTGTACAATTCCAATTTATTTATTTGTTTTCAAAAGCAGCAGTAGCTCACTTACAAACCTGAGCATAACTAGTCATGACTGTACAGAGTAAAGGAAGATTTTTTTTTTTACCTTAAAAGCAGGGGGGAAAGTAAATTTTAAATAGAAAAAAAAAAATAAGGAAACGCACAGGAAAGTTGATTAAATTAATCAAGTCCCTTTCAAATGATAATCAATTCCCATTCCCTTTCCTTTTAAATGGTACTCAGTCAACACATTTGTTTGAATTGAAAGGAGGCACGGGGAGGAAGTTGGTGGGAGGGGAACTGAGCACATATAAGACAAAGAGTCTTCCAAACCTGGTTTATAAAGAATGGAGAAGTGAATGGGGTAATCAGAATCCAGGACATTCTTTACCTGACAAACCTGATTTAAGCCAAGAATGAACAGTGGCTTATATCAGTAGCTTGTTATTTGAGAAATAAGCCCAGGACTAGATTCAGATGCAATGCTCAACAAAACATAGACTGGGGACTGAAGAAGTTTGGCTTTTCCTGCCAAAAGGGGGAAACTAGAGACAAACAGGAGTATCAATGCTTTTGCTCGTTCTGGATAAACTAGAATGCAGATTTCTGGCTTAAATTTGACACATGGTTGTCCCCAGACCACCTCCTTTGGGGGGGAATGCACACACACACACAAAATCTCTCCACGCAAGTGCTGTTTTTCATGGGGGAATTAATAAAGTCAGCTTAATCGGCCCAGTGGAAACCTCACAGCGGGGAAAAGAGAGAGTTCTCCACTTCTGGTGTCAACTTCGGGTGGAATGAGGGAAGAGGAACACCAAAGTCTGGGGGAGAGAAAAAAAAATAAGAGGAAAAAAATGTAAGTTTAAAGCAATTACAGTTAAACGACAAAGAATCAAAATGGAAGGGAAAATTCTGAGTCCCAGAGAAGGGCATATTTCTTTCGGGATTAAGATAGAACAGTTGGGTTAAAATGTCAGGTAACAGCCCCCTCTTCCCACTCCCCATGGATTTAAAATAAGTTCAGTCATTTTGAAGGTCTCAGGAAAGAAAGCCTTTTACAAAATGTAAGCCATTAAAAGAGTTGGGAGAAATGGTTACATACATGTTTGTAACATCTGCATGCATTTGCATCTCAACTGAGAGAAGATCCCAGTATTGTTTTTAAGGATTTTTTTAAAGTCCTTCCCGTAGATCAGTGGTTCTCAACCTTTTTAATGCCGCGACCCCAACCGGTCATAAGTCGAGGACTAAACCGGTCGTAAGTCGAGGACTACCCAACTGGTCGTAAGTCGAGGACTTTCCCTGCCCGGGAGCGCCGCGCATGCGTGGTTCCGCCCCCTGCGCCGGCCGAGGCGTAGCTGGCAGGCGGCAGAGACGGAGCAGGCCGACCACCAGCTGGCCCAGCCCAAGGGAGGTAAGGCACCCGCCGGAAAAGGGGAAAAAAATGGCGGACAAAAAAAATGGCTGACAGCCTTGCTTGGCGACCCCCGTGAAATGGTCGATCGGCCCCAAATGGGGTCCCGACCCACAGGTTGAGAACCACTGCCGTAGATCAAATTGAGGAACTGTTGCATTAATGAGGGAAACACAATATAAGACCTAGAGTTAGTCCTTCCGTAACAAGAAGGAAACAGAGGACTCTCGGGTGAGTTTTTTCCGCTTTCCAAAATTTCATTCCCAAAGATTCCCCACGGCTGTTAGCGCTCACCCATTTCCCCATCCAAGCGACTGGTTGGAGAGGGATTTTTGCGGTGGTCTTCAGTATGCTGAGTCATCTCCTCCCGAGAGGCTGTGGAGTAGGGGCATTGTAAGCAATTATAACGACCTCGGGTGTGTTCCCATACAATGCGGCTGTTGGAGGAGTGTCCTGCAATGGAAAGGACAAGCTGAAAATCCTGTCATCTGGTCAGTTTCCCGGTTTCCAAGCAATTGCAGATCTAATTGCTCTGATGAAAAGATAACTAGAGGAACTGGACAGGATCTGGACAGACTTGAACACTGGGCACCATCCAACAAAATGAAATTCAATGGTGAAAAAAAGCAAGGCTCTACATTTAGGCAAGAAAAACCAAATGTACAGGTATAGTATAGGGCAGGGGTAGGCAACCTTGGCTCTTTTATGACTCGTGGACTTCAACTCCCAGAATTCCTGAGCCAGCATGGCTCAGCTTGGAAACTCTCCCTTTTCCCTCAGCATGGCTGGCTCAGGAATTCTGGGAGTTGAAGTCCACGAGTCATAAAAGAGCCAAGGTTGCCTACCCCTGGTATAGGGGGTACCTTGCTCAATAGTAGTAACTGTGAGAGGGACCTCGGAGTCCTAGTGGACAATCACCTAAATATGAGCCAGCAGTGTGCTGCAGCTGCCAAAAAAGCCAACACAGTGCTAGGCTGCATTAACAGAGGGATAGAATCAAGATCACGTGAAGTGTTAATACCACTTTACAATGCCTTGGTAAGACCACACTTGGAATACTGGATCCAGTTTTGGTCACCTCGATGTAAAAAAGATGTTGAGACTCTAGAAAGAGTACAGAGAAGAGCAACAAAGATGATTAGGGGACTGGAGGCTAAAGCATATAAGGAACGGCTGCTGGAATTGGGTATGTCTAGTTTAACGAAGAGAAGGACGAGGGGGGACATGATAGCAGTGTTCCAATATCTCAGGGGCTGCCATAAAAGAAGAGGGAGTCAAGCTATTCTCCAAGGCGCCTGAAGGCAGGACAAGAAGCAATGGATGGAAACTAACCAAGGAGAGAAGCAACCTAGAACTAAGGAGAAACTTCCTGACGGTTAGAACAATTAACCAGTGGAACAACCTGCCTCCAGAAGCGGTGAATGCTCCAACACTGGAAGTTTTTAAGAAGAGACTGGACAGCCATTTGTCCGAAATGGTATAGGGTTACCTGCCTGAGCAGGGGGTTGGACTAGATGACCTCCAAGGTCCCATCCAACATTATTATTATTATTATAACTCTCTTATGGCTTAGATGAATTTTGCATGTGTTATCTTTGAGAAATTGTAAAGAAATGGTAGAGGATAAGAGGGGAAAAAAGCTGTATCTTCAAAACAAGAAGAAAATTCAGAAAATTATAGATACTGATAGCTGGGAAGATTCTAGAGCAGATTGTAAACGATCTGGAAGTACCGTACATTTAAAACAATGTAGAGACTTAGACCAACAAGGATGTGTAAAAAATAATTCTTTAGTAAATTATGGGAATATAGCTTGATTTCAGTGCTACAGTTGATAAGAGTAGTCTATTATATTCTAAACTGGTTAACTGAGGGCCGGATTAGCATGACAATTAAATGAATACGTAGTTGGCTTGTAAAATTATTCATCAATTGTTTTCTACTCTTACTATAAAAGGAAATGCCACAAGGTTCAGCCCTGCACCATGTATTCCTCCATGTCAAATTCATGACTTAAGTATGGTCTCAAGCAGCTATGACAGTGATGGCAAACCTTTTAGAGACCGAGTGCCCAAATTGCAACCCAAAATACACATATCGTCGGGTGCCAGGTGGGCGTGGCCCATCGGGTGGGCGTGGCCCATCGGGTGGGCGTGGCTGCGGTGGTAACGGCAGCCTTGGTGAGACTAAAAAGTTCAATCAATTCCAACTTTGCGAGATCTTTTCTTTTCCCTGGAGAAGTTGAAATTGACTGATTGATTGAACCTTTTTTTTTTTTTTGCACACAGTGGCGGAGGCCTAAAGTGAAAAGGTTTTATAAAACCCAGCTGAAGGCCTAGGACTGGGGCGACGGTGCGCAAGCCCACAGTGAGGGCTCTGCATGCCACTTGTGGCACGTGTGCCATAGGTTCGCCACCACAGAGCTATGACTTACAGTGGCATCTCTTGCACAGCCCCCCTGAAGTAACATAGTAAAATGTGGGACATTAATGAACAACTCCAAAAGGGTGTGTTGACACCAGCCTGAGACGCAGACTAAATTTAGGGCAGATACAGCAGAATCCTGCACGTATCGAAAAAAACAGAACGTGATAGCTGCTCACCTTGGCTTTTCTTCCACACAGCGTTGGAAACAGGGAGGCCTTGGCCTGCTGGCAAGAAAGGCCTGAGGCGGTTCTGCACTGCAGCTTGAGGTAAAGCATAGGACGTGGGGTGCATATAGGGCAGGAAGGGCCCTGAAGGGTGAGGTGGCCCAGAAAATTTTGCCAGGGAGGGTGGCCCAAACAGGGATTGCTCCAGCAGAGGATACATAGGCGATGTTGGCAACGGCACAGATTCTAAGGGGCCAGGAAGTCCAGCTGGAAGGGAGTCAGGGGCCAGAGGAGTGTCCATTGGGCCAGGGAGAAGAGCTTCTTTTTTTAAGTGCTGTATGACTCTCTGGAGTTTTGGAAGCTCCTCCAGCAATTTGCCCGGTGGCTCTTTTTCCAGGCTAGAGGTAGGTGGAAAGAGGGGTTTCTCTGAGGTTAGGGCCAGGGAAGTGGTGGTGGTGCTGGTGGTATTGGCATCAGAACAGCTGTGCAAGTGCTTGAAGAGGGAGCGATGTGTTCGGAAACGTGACATGCAGTTCTCACATCTGGAGGAAATAAAAACAGAACAGGCTAAACAAAGCATTCAGCGCTGAATTTCCAACAGGCTTATGAACTAAAGCAATGATGGCAAACCTTTTAGAGACTGAGTGCCCCAAAACTGGCTCCACCCCCTACCCCGCCCCCTACCCCACCTGTCCACAGGGCCACTCACCGCCTCCAGGGCCCACTGCAGATCGCCCAGGCAGCCCAGCAGCGCCATGGCCACGCCCTCTGCCCGCGCCCCGCAGCATCAACTGTGCAGGATGGGGCATGAGGGCAGAATCTTGTCTACGCTGCCTGGCTGCGCTGCTCTGTGTGGGCCACGCTCGGGGGCGACTCTCCTCCAGGGGGGCTGCTAGTGAGGAGGAGGTTGTGGGGGGAGGTGGGGCTGGGGCAACGGCACGTGTGCCCAGAGAGAGGGCTCCGAGTGCCACCTCTGGCACGTGTGCCATAGGTTTGCCACCACTGCTCTAAGAAGATGAGATCTCCAGAAAACGAGGTATGTCAAATTTTTGCAGATTTTGGAGGGGAACTGGTGAATCACTTTATTTCTATCCCACTTTTATAATTTTAGTGTTATCCAACATCCAACATACTTTCCTTCTCCTATTTTCCCCACAACAACCCTGTGAGGTGGGTTGGGCTAAGAGAAAGTGACTGGCCCAAATTCATCCAAGTGGCTTTCATGACTAAGGTGGGACTTGAACTCGCAACCTCCTGCTTTCTAGCTAGTACCTTAACTACTAGACCAAATTGGCTCTCAGAAACAGTGCTGCCATGGGCATAAGTAAAAACAGGAAGGGGATTTGAAAAATTGTGGATATAAATGAGAGGAGAAAAGGGATCTGAAAAGATCTTTTCACTGAAGACATAGTCTCGTAAACCTAAAATGGCTTATCCTAGGCTGTGAATTATCACTAAATGTGTTTGTCTTACTTTGAGGCCTATTAGAAACAAAGAACATACCTGCAATTTGGTAAACTTGTTCAAATTCACTGAAGAGTTTGGTTTGCTTCAGCTAGTTCCAGGCTATTAGCCAAATACAGGCTGGATTTGCACAACTTCTTCAACCAGGATGCAAACCCACTCACTACTGTTTATAAAACAAATGCTTGGTATATCGTGTGATACCAGCCAATAAGCTACAGTTTAGCCCAGTATACAAACTGTAGTAGACAGCATGCAATTCCCAGATGAAAAGGGGCTACATGGCACAAAAAGAAGGACCTAAATAGCTCAGGACCAGAGGCACTGCCTTCTGCCTTGCCTGGGTTTTAAGATTCCTGGCTGGAGACCAGAAGACCGACATGTGCTACAAGTAGCTTTCCAAACCATAACCTGGTATCCATCTGGGCTGCCTCCATGGGATTAGAGTAGGATGCACTAGTTTGCAGTGGATTTCCTCCTTGCTGAGGGGTTGATTCCAGTTGGTGGTGAGATCTGCTATACACTTCAGCTCCAGGCCAAACAGTTAATGCAACAGAAGTGCTAACCCGGTGCATGGAGACTGTAAGGCAGTGGTTCTCAACCTTTTTAATGCCGCGACCCCCAATCGGTCGTAAGTCGAGGACTAAACCGGTCGTAAGTCGAGGACTAAACTGGTCGTAAGTCGAGGACTACCCAACCGGTCGTAAGTCGAGGACTTCCCCTGCCCGGGAGCGCCGCGCATGCGTGGTTCCGCCCCCTGCGCCGGCCCAGGCGTAGCTGGCAAACGGCAGAGACAGAGCAGGCCGACCACCAGCTGGCCCAGCCCAAGGGAGGTAAGGCACCAAGGGGGAAAAAAATGGTGGACAAAAAAAATGGCAGACAGCCTCGCTTGGCGACCCCCGTGAAATGGTCGATCGACCCCAAATGGGGTCGCGACCCATAGGTTGAGAACCGCTGCTGTAAGGGGTCGAATGATTTCAAGGAAATGCCAAGGTTGACTCTGAAAGGACTTCTGCTCCCTCTATCAGATGTCATTTGCATTTTGAGGTCTTCCTGGATTCATGGCTCCTGGCTGTTTTACGGCAATGTGGTCTATATGCTCCCTGTGGAAAGTACCCAGACTCTACAGCTGATACAAATGCAGTAGCAGTGATGGATGTATCTTAATAAATTCAAAAGCCCCTCTATGAGGGAGACAATAAGATGTTTGAACTCTCCTTTGGTGGGGTATTTAATCAGGTGCAGGATGGCAATCTGGCAGGGATCCCAATGTCACTGCAATAGTGACATTGGGCAGGGCCTAATCAGTGTTTCTCAACCTTGGCAACTTTAAGATGTGTGGACTTCAACTCCCAGAATCCCCCAGCCCAGGTAATCTCCGAGATAATTTCTACTCCTCATTTTCTATGTGGGCTGGAGTGGCACGGTGACCTAGAGATGGGAGCTCTCGCCTCGCAATCAGGAGGTTGTGAGTTCGATCCTAGGTAGTGGCAGATATTTTGCTCTCTGGGCACAATGAGTTATTGCCTGCTGCAAACTCCACGTAGGGGTCATAAAGGGCATCCGGCTTCATTCAGTCATCCCAACTCCACCCCGATGCAAGGGATTGTTAAAAGAAAAAAAATTCTACGTGGACTATGTGGACCTTATATTCTGCCTTAGATTTCATTTGGCCTAATTCCATTTTTCCCCCTTTAAGGCAGGTTCCCTCTTTGCCCAACTACCTTTGCGAGCCTCTAACCTGCAAATATTCACGGGAGGGTGTTTGCTTTGAGTCAAGAATAGAAAGCCAGGGTGGGCAGAATACCTTATTGAGGCATAAGGTGTTTATGCCTTATTGAAGGGGACTATTTGGGGAGAGTGATCTATTCTAGGCTAGCTGTAGGGGAAAAGAGTTCTTTTAGTTCCGCATTTTTCAACTTTGGCAACTTCAGGATATGTAGACTTCAACTCCCAGAATTCCCTAACCAGCATGGAAAAAACTCATTAATTGGAGCCCCCATATGGACTTGCTCTCTATTACACTCTTCTCTTTTGAAACCCCCCTCAGAGTCTCACAGAGGTTTATCTTAACAATCATCCTATAATGCAGATTAAGCTGACAGTGAATTCCCCTGGAATTCAGTTGCCAAGCTTTATATTTCACTGGGAAATTCAAAGACATGAGAAAGAGCTCTTTGGAGAGAAACCTACTTCATTTTAACCTGATTTTCATTAGCACGCTACACTCGCACCTTTTTCCAGAGCATTTGTTAAAAGAAACACACACGTTTAACGAAGATAAAACCAAGCGGGGTCTTACTTGAAGTAGCGGTTGGGCTTGTAATGCACCTTCATGTGACCCATCAGGTCTTGCATGTTGGGGAAGGATTCCAAGCAACCAGGAGTGGAGCAGCGGAATGTCTTTCCTAAGAGAAACCCAGCAGTTCAGTGTATCTGTAGCTTTATTTATTGGTTTATCAAATGTTCCAATAGAAGAGAGTTTATCTGCAGCTGTAACTCAAGTTGAACAATGGAGTCCTTGGTGCTTTCTGAGCTGGGTCCGTGACAACTCGGCACAGCCAACTCACCGCAACTAACTTGCTACAGCCAAATTGCTGCGGCCAACTTGATGTTGCCCATTCACCACGGGGCAAGAATTATACTAATGTCAAAGAAATAGTGGAATAGAATCATGAAAGAAAAGATAACAAAGGAGGGACAACGTGAAATATGAATGACAAAAATGAAAATAATTTCTAATAATTAAATTGAGCCGTTGAATTGTTCTGCAGTGAGTTGTCCCGTGGCGAGGTGGCCACGGCGAGTTGTTCAGCAGTGTGTTGGCTGTGGCAAGTTGACTGTGGCGAGTCACCCCACTCCGCTCTGAGCTGGCCTGTTTGCTTGTAGAACTTTCATAACTTAACTAGTCCAGGGCTTTTCAACCTTTTCACCCATTGTACCACTTTTAGGATATGGCAACATCCAAGTACCACCAGTTGCCTAGCAAGGTGTCAAAAACTTGATGACCCCCCCCCAAAAAAAGGAAAAAAGTGATGAAGTACAGGTAGTCCTTGACTTACAACAGTTCGCTTAGTGGCTGTTTGAAGTTACAATGGCACTGAAAAAAGTGCCCCCCAAGCCACAGCCGAGCAAGGCACCTGCCCGCCCGCCCGGCGGCGCTCTTCCTCTTGTCCGAGGTTTTCATTGTGAGCTCCAGCCATCTCTCGCTCAGGCTTGTGCGGTGCTGCCACCGGTTCAGCTCATTCCCCTCCCCCGCTACCACTTTTCTAGGATGGTCACGTACCACCTGCCAGGTGCCAATGTACCACAGGTGGTACCCGTACCACTGGTTGAAAAGCCTTGAACTAGGTGACATCATCGGTGCCAGGGAATGTGGGGTTTTCTCCCTATTTAGACAAATTAAATTTTCCCTGCAAGGCAAACCCAACACTCCTTCGCGCTGACGATGTTATCTAGCTGGGTAATGAAACATCTGCAAACAAGCAAACAAGCTCAGAAAGCACCAAAGACTCCACATTTATTAAACGTTTTTGTCACCCAGTTCCCAACAGGCCTGGGTGAACAGCCAGGGCTTTAATTAGAGAAGACCTATTTCTTCCAGTCCAGTCAGCCTTTTGAGGTAGCCTAGACAAGCCACGAAGCTAACCCTACTTTTATGGTAAGGTTGCGGTAACAATCTGTGCAAGTCTAAAACTACCATTCCCTTTCCTTGTTTTTAGTTTCTCAAAAAACTAGTGAGGATCCCTTCTGAGACACTTTCTCTACTCCAAACATGTCAAACACAAGGCCCGGGGGCCGGATGCAGCCCGTGAAGTGGTTTCATGCGGCCCGCAATGCCATCCTGGAAACAGTGAGGGAATGGCCCTTGCTGCCTTGGCCCTGGCCGGCCGGCCGGGAAGGAAGGAAGGAGGGAGGGTCTAAGGAAAGTCCTGCCTTAGTCCTGCCCTGCTGCCCTTTCGCCATCCCCTTGCCCCTTCCTCCTGGCCTATCCTGGGGGTCTCCCATCTTATTGCTAAGGAAGCTTTGGATACAAAGCCGGGTCTCCTCCCATGGAGAGGGAATGGGCCTCCCTCTGACTTTGCCCTCGTACCCATCATGAGCAACCTGGCTAAGGAGAGCAAGCACAGCAGCAGCAGCCTTGAGGAGGAGGTAAGTGCAGCTGGGCGCCCCCTTGGGGAAGTGGGGCCAGGCTTGGTGCCTTGGGTGCTCGAGGGCCAGGCTGGGCATTTGACCTCTGCTGTCCAGGGCTCCCAGCAGCCGGCACCACCATCCAGCCCCCCTTCCCCGCATGGCCTGGGAGGAACAGTGAGGCTCCTCCAGTGGACCATGCCTTGGCACTTGCCCTGGTCCCAGCCCCTTCTGCCAGAGACCCTCAGATCTGTCCCACTCCTGCCCAGGCCCCCACAGTGTAGAACGGTGTAGAACTGGCCATGCCCACCCAGTAGGCCACACCCACTCCGTCCATGCCCACCCAATAGGCCGCACCCACCCTGGCCAAACCCACCTGGCCCCCCCAAGGGCAACCGCAATGCTGATGCGGGCCTCAATGAAATTGAGTTTGACAGCCCTGCTCTACTCCCATCCCTCCTTTGAGCTCAGATTTCATATTTTAAACCTTTGTTTAGACTGAGGCTCTTCTTCCTACCTCCCAGTCCAGGGGTAGGCAACCTCGGCTCTTTTATGACTCATGGACTTCAACTCCCAGAATTCCTGAGTCAGCTTAGCTTAGCTGACTCAGGAATTCTGGAAGTTGAAGTCCATGAGTCATAAAAGAGCCGAGGTTGCCTACCCCTGCCCCATACTATTACAAGTCCCAATTTCTTGCCCAGACTTCAAGTTTGCAGAATTTCAGACAGCTTATACATATGACGGCCCAGCAGATGGCAGCACTTGTCTGATTTGGCTGATTTTCAACAGTAAACAGGATCAGGCTTAATTAATTCTTAAACAGAAGGCCATCTGGAAATCTCAGAGCTGTAATCTAAACTAGGAAATCTAAAATCATATTGGAAAAAAGTTTGGCCAAAAGGGCAACAAGGACATGGACAAGAAGCAACAGATGGAAACTGATCAAGGAGAGAAGCAACCTAGAACTAAGGAGAAACTTCCTGACAGTTAGAACAATTAACCAGTGGAACAACCTGCCTCCAGAAGCTGTGAATGCTCCAACACTGGAAGTTTTTAAGAAGAGACTGGACAGCTATTTGTCTGAAATGGTATAGGGTTTCCTGCCTGAGCAGGGGGTTGGACTCGATGACCTCCAAGGTCCCTTCCAACTTTATTATTATTATTATTATTATTATTATTATTATTATTATTATTATTATTATTACTACTACTACTACTACTACTACTACTACTACTACTACTACTACTACTACTACTACTACTACTACTACTACTACTACTATATGGTCACCAGAAGTAGAGTTCAACTTGAGGGTGACTATTTTTAAAAACATGGTGGATTTGTCCATTGAAGTCATTCCTCATGTGACTTTATAAGTAAATGTGTTATGGAGCATTTTATCACAAGATGAAAGATGGACTATTTTTCAGATAGGATCAGAGGAGAGATATTATTACCTTATGAATCCCGCTGATTATATCAAATCTCTATTCAATCACAGCACGGGCATGGGGGGGATATGGAATAACACAAGAGTTTTTGTGGCACTCTTGAACACCCCCCAAGAAGTATTTGACTGGCTACTTTTGAAAACAGAACACCCGTGATGCTGCATTTTTAATACATGTCCTTTGTAAAACCACACATCGACTATAGCTATCATGAATAAGTTGTGTAAAGATGTCTCTGTGGCCATGTTTACATAAAGAGCATAAAGAGCTGCAGGCTTTGCATGCAGACATCTGAGTTCTGAATGTTTTCAGTTACAAAAATCAGAGTTAACAAGGGTTATGAAATGTGCAATAGAACAGTGGAAAACTGCCAGTCAAAGGAGTTGATGAAATTCTACACATTGAACATTTAGGGGCCACAGACAAATCCCATGTACCCTTTCCTTCCCCCACCGCAGTCTTCCCTCCTTTGCTGGGAAGAAGAGAGAGGAAGGATGTTTTCATTTTCTCCACAAGAGAAAAATCACAGTGTTTCTTCTCCCATTCTTCCCAGCAAAAAAGATGAACTCTCTGCTGACTCTCAAGGACCATGCTAAAAAAAAAACGGAGGGGGGGAAAAAATACAGCAAGAACCTCTGAAGGCTTCTGCACCCCTGGCTTAGTTACACAAATCTTCTTCTTCTTGTGCCATATCCGTTATCAGACGTTGGCGATCCTGTTTTTATCAGCAGCCACGCGAAAAAGTGCTGCTGAGTTTTGTTACACAAATAGACTGATATAAAAGAATGAAAAGCAACCCCTGGGCTCCTGTCCTGCAAAATTCATGAAAGAAGAAACAAGGAGACATAATTTTTCATGGTCTCCCTACTACTCTTCCTCTTCTCCTGACCTATACTATCCCCCCACCCCCAGGTTTGAAAAGCCAGCCTTACCCTCAAGGGACTCCGTGGGCCGATAGTGGACCTGCATGTGGCGAAGAAGCTCCTTCATGCTGCGGCAGGCCAGTCGGCAACCGTCCCCGGAGCACTGGTAACGTTTCACTGGAATAGGGAGAAAGAACAGAAGCAGTGGGGCTTTCTCTTCCAATGAACTCTGTAGGGCCCTCCGTAATGCCTGCAGATTAAGTGAGCCCCGGATGGACTTGGAGCTGAGCTGATCCTAGGTTAGTGTTTCTATCACTGATGCGATTTGGCTTGAGACCCCAGACAGCCCTTTTCCCAGCTGAATTTTCCCCTTCTTTAAGATGTGAACGAAAGTGGCTTCTCTCTTCAAGTTAAAACTCATGAAATATTTTGCAAATTAACTTGCCTGAAGTCCTTAAAATGCCAAGCCAAGACTTTAAAGTATAGGTTACAATTTGCTTCCCGGTCCAATTGAAGCTGCTGGTTGTCCTCATTAAAGCCCTACATGGCCTGGAGTCAGGTTGTTATTTGAAGGGCCATCTTTCCAGTTATATCTACCTGACCCACCAGAGCAGAGAGGCATGTTATGGGTCCCCTCCATCTGGTGGGACCAAGAAGGGCCTTCTCTGTGACGGCTCGCTCTCTGTGGAACATCATCTCCGTGGAAAACAGACCGGCCCCCACTTTCACACTCTTTCATAGGCCCTGAGGACATGGTTTTACCAAAGGGCCTGGGGACCCCAGGGTAATATGGAGCCCCCCAAGTGGTTGGTTTGATTGCTTTTGCCGGGGGGTGGGGGGGTTCTATTCCCTAAGAGTCACTCTGAGTGAGTGGGGCAGCCATATCAATTTTCTAAATAAAATAGATCAGTGATGGCGAACCTTTTAGAGACCGAGTGCCCAAACTGCAACCCCAAACGCACTTATGTATCGTCGGGTGCCGGGTGGGCGTGGCCCATTGGGTGGGCGTGGCTGTGGTGGTAACGGCAGACTGGGTGGGACTAAAAAGTTCAATCAATCAATTCCAACTTTGCGAGAACTTTTTTTTCCCGCGAGAAGTTGAAATTGATTGATTGAACTTTTTTTTTTCCACACGGTGGCAGAGGCCTAAAGCAAAAAGGTTTTATAAAACCCAGCTGAAGGCCTAGGACTGGGGCGACGGCTCACGTGCCCACAGAGAGGGCTCTGAGTGCCACCTGTGGCACGCATGCCATAGGTTCGCCACCACGGAAATAGATGATTGATAGAAGATAGATGACAGACAGACAGACAGCTGTAAAGATAAGCAGGGCTTATTGGTGAGGGAAAAACTGCCAGATAGGATGTACACAAATTCCACAGCAGGGCCGCAGGACACAAGAGGACATCGCTTCCTAAGAACTTTTCAAGTGCCTTGCACACATGCAGGAGAAGAAATGATGTTAAGTAAGGAAACAATTTCACAAGTAAACGAAGACACTCCTCTCTGCAGGCTGACACTCATGTCATCAGCAGCCATGGATCCTTTTCACCCTTTTAATGTTTCGCCACTGAAAACAAGAGAGTGAAAATGACCGAGAGGTGATAACGGAAGTGCGACCTCAAATTTACCTGTGGTAGGTCTGCGCTTTGGGAGCTGCAGATCCTGATTTCGAGTACCGCTACCTCCACTCCATGCTGGCTGTGCCTGGCTGCCCAAAAGCCCTGGATTGTTAGAACCTGGGAATCAAGAAAAGCAAAGTGGAGTAAGAAAGAGCATTTTAAGTGAGGGGTTGCAGCATCTTAAAACTAGCCAGGTTTTCCAACCGCAATCACCAGCTAGGCTTTGAACCCACCATATTCTCTTATAGTAGCAGCTCAGCTCAGCCCTTTGTCTCTTTCCTTCCCTCTCAAACCGTATTTACCCTCCGATGAAGATACGGGAGATGTCACTTCCTCCTTCTCAACCGAGCTTTGGAGGTGAGGGGGCGAAGCTCTGAGCTCATGGTTGGGCAGGGTTAGGGCAGGCGGCGTTGAGGGCGGATTCTCCTAGCAAAGAGAGAAGGAAATGAAAGCCAGTCCGCAAAGAATATTACAGAAAACTCTTGTCTCTCGGCCTCAGTTTCTCCACTGGAAAAAGAGGATTCAAGAATACACTGCTGAAGAACATGGTTGTGACCTGCTTGGCCAAATCTCTGGTTTGTGCACTGATCTCTTATTGCAACTACCTCAACTTTCTTTGTTTCTCCTCTTCCACCTTTCCGTTCTGAGGGCAAAGTCATGCCTCGTCTCATCTGCCTCCCTTTTTTCTTTCAAGATTCAGAATAATCTCTCCGTCTTTTGAAAGCCCTCTTTTTCCCCCTTTTTCTCTCCAATCCTTCTGTATTAAGACAGCTCTGTCCTACAATCCTCCTTCCTCTGGCTAAGAGCCTTAGGCAACCTTGGCTCTTTTATGACTCGTGGACTTCAATTCCCAGAATTCCTGAGCCAGCCATGCTGAGGGGAAAGGGAGAGGTTTCCAAGCTGAGCCATGCTGGCTCAGGAATTCTGGGAGTTGAAGTCCACGGGCCAAGGTTGCCTACCCCTGCACCCAGACTGTCACAAATCAGTCTACTTCCAGAGATGTTATCTCTTGCTTCTTCCCGGAATGCAGGCGGTCCTCATCTAACAACCAACTACTTGGCAATGATTCGAAGTTATGACAGACCCAAAAACATTACCTATGACCCAGATTTGAAGTTCCAACATCTGCCCCTCTCCCTTATCATGTGACCACATTTGGGGCACTCAGCAACCAGCCTGCATTTACGGTCACTTGTAGTGTCCCACGGTCATGTGGCCATGGTTCCCCCTCCCGAAACAGGCATTTACTTCCAGTTTTCAGACAAGAACACCCATTGCAAAAAAATGGGTTCGCTTAACAACCACTGCAAAAAAAGGTCCTAAAATCAGGCATAGTCATGATCATGTGTCAAAAGACTACCTGCATTTGCAAATATCTCCTAGAACAGGGGTAGGCAGCCTTGGCCCTTTTATGACTCATGGACTTCAATTCCCAGAACTCCTGAGCCACCATGGCTCAGCTTGGAAACCTCTCCCTTTCCCCTCAGCAAGGCTGGCTCAGGAATTCTGGGAATTGAAGTCCACGAGTCATAAAAGGGCCAAGGTTGCCGACCCCTGTCCTAGAGTATGTCTGCGAGACTGCCTTTCTCCTGTGAAATCATTCCTTCAAATTTATCTTTTATTTTTATTATGTTCATTTAATAGCTTTTTGAGTGCAAAAGAAAGAAAATGAGCAGAAATGAGATGTATAAGCTGTACTGTATAACCAAAAAACGTGTTTTATTATTCAAGGCTTTTGGCTTCTGTACTCTAAGAAAACTCAGCTGACAGCCAAATCTGGACATGGACAATGAAACAATTCTATGCTGCGTCTTAATTTACCATTCTTTTTCAACTTTCCTTCCTCTCTTGATCTCCCAGATCAAATGTTAGATGGTTAAGTTCCTCAGGAAAAGCACTTGGATAATAAATAACACAAATTTATGCCACGCATATTATATAAATATATTTACAAATGTTAATTGTAATACCCACCCAATTAACTTGACGGATGCCACAAGACCTTTTGAGACTGATATTGTCACTTCAAAGTTACTGAGTACATTTCAGAGCTAAGGCTATAACACACGCGCGTGTATACATACGGTATCTTAAGAAGAAATTGGGTAGTATATTGGACCCACAATCCCCTGTCTAGACCCAAGTCCCACTTCCAGCATTGTTCATTTCAGATGCTTTTCAGAAGCTCAAAAACGGAAGAAAAAGAAAAAGGCTAAACCAGGGGTAGGCAACCTCGGTTCTTTTATGACTCGTGGACTTCAACTCCCAGAATTCCTGAGCCAGCATGGCTCAGCTTGGAAACCTCTCCCTTTCCCCTCAGCATGGCTGGCTCAGGAATTCTGGGAGTTGAAGTCCACGAGTCATAAAAGAGCCAAGGTTGCCTACCCCTGGGTTAGAGCTTCAAGCAAGAACAGCTTCCACTTACATTTTTTTATTTTACAATACATGGCAAGGCACATGTAAATAAGTGCAGCGTGGTTTGTAAAGCTTACGCCAACAGTTAAGACAGGAGGAGTAGTTTTGCAAGATCTTCTGGAAGACTGTTTGGCTACAGAAAAAATAAAATGTTTTAAATCGTAGCAAAATAGCAAAATAAATAAATACTGCAGCAGGGTGTCCCTGTTTTGGCCTTTCATTAAAGGTTTCAATTATATCAAAAATCTCAGAGCAAAGTCTAAGCTACCAGAAAGGAGGCAGAAGGCTGGGTGTTGGGGAGTTATAAATTAAAAAGCTCACAAGGGCAAAGCAGACTGTCCATCAATTGACTGGCTGGCTGCAAGGAAAGGGAGGGGATGACAACGTGCTATTCGTTTGGGTACCATTTCTATTCTCGCCTTCCGATAAATACATGATTATAAGCAGAGAGGTGAGAAAAGGGTGACATAGGTTTTCTGAATTCACTGGTGGAAGAAATGGTTCTCTCTTATTAAAGGCCTCCCTAATTCAAGCGAATTCCCCAATATGCTGTTTTGCATTTTCCTGACTGGACTGTATCTCTGCGTACATACTCAAGATCTTGTGCTATTGGCTACTATTGGGTTAAGGCCTCTTGTTGTTGTGTTTGGAGTAGGTTCTTTTGGGTTGATTTCTTCCAGATTTACATTCCATCCCCTTGACTCATAACCTACTTGGGGATGATGGATTCCATCCCTATGCAGGGATAGAGGAAAGCCAAACCATCAAGTTTTGAGGAGCACCATGAACTGGGACTGACTACTATAACTCTTTCTTACAGGCGGTATCTGCCATCAAGGCAAAAGAGAGACGCTTCCCTGCCCTGCTACTGAAAATCTGTATCTAAAATAATACCAAGATATGCCTCCTGAGGTGAAGCTTTTTTCTACTTGCTTGCCAAAAGTCCATGAAGTCTACTTCCTTCCTTGCCTTTGCTCTATAGCAGAGGTGGGCAGTTAATTTTCCCAAGGGCAGACTGGAATTGTTGTGGAAAGCTGAACCAATAGGGTTGTGAAGGTGCGTAGGCACTCACATAGGCACATATGTAAACTGGAGAAAAAAAAAGCAGTGGCCTTCAAAATAAAAGCAATGCAGTTGTATTGCATGCATGGCGTACACCTATTTACATTTGATTTCTAATTTGAAAGTTACCGCACGTGGGCCGGATAAGGACAAAGGGACAGATGTGGCCTAGGGACTGTAAAAGAGCTTTCCCTGTTCTTTAAAAAAAAAAGTGTATCCTGCAAATTGCAAACATCCCATATAAGATATTGAATACTGCAATCAAAATTAGAAAATCTAATTTCAAGAGAGAAATTAGAAAAGAAATCCAGTTTGATGTAGTGGTTAAGGCATCAGTCTAGAACCTGGGTGGCTAGGGGTTCTAATGCCACTTTAGACACAAAGCTGGCTGGGTGATCCTGGGCCAGTCATTTTCACTCAGCCCTAGGAATGAAGCAATCTGTCTGCCAAAACCTTGCCAAAAAAACTGTACTTATCCAGACAATCAAAAATCAAGACTGACTCAAAGCCGCAAGTTCAAGAAACTTCTACAATGAGGTATTCTTTGATCTACTGTGTCAGCTACAGAGAGAAAAGAAGAAAGGGAGAACAAACTAGTTTTTAACTAACACTAATCCTAACCACTTCAGTTAAACTTCTGAAGGCATGGTAAGAGGT